TCTAACCAGGCTCACATTTCCCATCGCTTAGTCATGTGATACGTGTCACCTGCCACCATGGTGGTGGCAGCAGAGCCTCCAGCTGCCCGCAATGAACCACAGAGGTGAACGATAGCAGTGATAGAAGAGATGTTTACATTAGCAACATTATTACCTTCCATGTTTTTCATACGAAGTGCCATTTTTACAAGTGAGCACCTTTAGCGCTTCTCAGCCTTTTGACAATGTACCCTGTTGCCCACGTCAAAATTCAATGGCTCCTCCCCATGTAGGCTAATAGGTTTCCTGCTGTGACAGAATTTCATTTTTATAACATTAATGTAGAGAAACTGTAAACATCCATAGATAAAAGAGCATAATCATTTAAATTTTAAATAATTGAGTTTCAGAATTCCAGGGGCCTCATTTAATCAACAGTGCGTACGCACAGATGTGTGCGTAAGAACCGTTTCACGCAAAGTGTGGGATCTACCAACTTGTAGTGGTCTTCACGGGTCCACTTGGATCCGAAAACCCGAGGTCCGACCCGAGACCAGAGCGGGTTCGGGTACAAAACATCGACGAGTACCTCGGACATGGGTCGGGTTCGGTATTAGCGGCCTCGGGTCTCGGGTAATTTAAAATAAACATGCTTTTCCCAAATGGACCCGATTAGACCCGAATTCTTTTAAACTATCCCGAATGCGTAGGTTACTTTCACTTTCGTGTTAAGAGAGGAACGCACATAGAAAAGGAGCATACTTTCGCAATCCTCGCACACAGACATCATCTTATAGATATGAGATCCATCAGGAAAATCCACTAACTTCATTATGCTGCGTGTTCATGCAGGGCTTTTCTTTTTAGTGTGCAGAAGCCTTTCGCCGGAGATCAGGTTGCAGACAACAGCGAATCCATGATTAGGCTATCGATTTATTTTTTATCAAACTATAACATTTATTTTTCAAATCCACTGGTCACAATTGAAAGCGGAGCTCAGAAATACCTTGTATCCATCAGGCAGGCACTAATATAAAGTAACCTAATAATAAATTGAATAAATGGTAAATAAATCAAAGTAATGGAGAAGTGGCCAAATCAGTCAGGACACCGGCATTTTTCCTGACTGACTGCGGGGCTGCAGGCTGTACACACGTCAATGCCGTTTACGTTTGGGTCCAGTCGGGTTCGAAAATAAATGCCATCGGACTCGGGTCTAATTTCATCGGGTCTGTCTCGGGTCGGGTTCTTCTTTTAAAAAAATTTATTTATGCACGTCGGGTTCGAGTAAGAAGTGATTCGGGTCGGGTACAGATTTTAGGACCCGAGAAGACCTCTACCAACTTGTACTTATACGTAGAAATGTGTGTAAATATAAGCACACCTCTGAGCATGCTTACGCAGAGAATCTAGTTGTAGAATAGCGACACTACACACAAAAAGCATTTAAGAGTGTCACAGTATGCATTAAAGGGGTCATAGGATGCTACATGCACTTTTACAAGTTGTTTGAACTGAAATGTGTGTTGGCAGTGTGTGTACACAACCACCCTATAATGATAAAAATCCACCCAGTGGTTTTTTTTTAATCTGGTTAAATGTTTTCCCCTTTCTCAAATCGAGCCGATCTCAGATGCCCCTCCCACGATAGTTTGATTGACAGTAGCGTTTCAGCACAGACTGGACTGGTGTCTTACCTTTAGTGGATTAGATTGTTTTTGAAGGGAATGCTCCCCGATCTACACAAATGCATCTATGTTCGCGTGAATCATTCATGATCCAGCCTCATCTACAGAAGAAGTGAGTGTAATGTTTTGTAATGAATCTTTGCAAATCGCCTTTCCTAATAATGTGCTAATTAGCAAGTTTCACGATGAATGCGGCTAAAGTAAACAGTCCCTCAGAGAGCAGCTTGAAAGAGAGGGGCGGGGACAGCAGAGCTCATTAACATTTAAAGAAAAATGCTACAAAAACGGCTTTATCTGAAAAGAGCTGTTTTTGACAGAGTAAAAAATGTGTTTTTTACACTACCATTGAGAAATTTTAACCAAACTATGTTACAGACTTTTCATTAAGACCCTAAAGAATCATATCAACTTGTGGAAAATGGGCATCCTATGACCCCTTTAAGGTCCAATTCTGGCTATTAACTAACTAACTAACTACAAACTAACACTTTTGCCTCAATAAACTCCTAATTACTGCTTAAAGGGGTCATATGACGTTGCTAAAAAGAACATTATGTTGTGTATTTGGTGT